ATTTCAGATAATTAAATAGATGCACAGATAGATATGAAGAGATTGGGATAGATAGATAGATAGATAGATAGATAGATAGATAGATAGATAGATAGATAGACGGTTCCTTTTACGAACAATCAAAGATCTTTTAGCTTCTTGCAGTTAATAATCATATTAGGATATATAAAAACAATATAGATAGATAGATAGATAGATAGATAGATAGATAGATAGATAGATAGATAGATAAACCTAAATCAATAGATAGATAGATAGATAGATAGATAGATAGATAGATAGATAATGTGGCTGTGTGTAAGCGTGTATGTGTTCACACCCACAAGAAAGGGGATAGAAAAGTGTAAATAGCAACACAAAAATCTCCATATAGTTCTTTTGCACACAAACATATGCATCTATGCTAAACTCCAACAGGATAAATCCTATTCCCAAACATATACGCCTCATCTCCGAAACTACTGTCGTCTGCCATCTCCATTTTCATCCTCCCAACCAACCCTACCTGTTCGGCCCACTGGACAGAAGGCGTCTCTATCTCTGCCAATCCGTCCTTATTATGAATTGTATAAACTGATTACGCGTCCCATGATTGCTGCCCATAAATTTCCCGTAATATCCACAAATAATCGGATTTTTGAGAGAAAAAAATACACAGAAAAATATCGCTCTTTTTCTCTTACATTTATTTTCTTTCTCCATGTTTATCTTTTTCTTTTATTTCTTTTTTTTTCTATCTTTAAAATATTTTCTTCCTTCCTGCTTTTTGCCTCATTTTTTTTACCTCTCATCTGTTTACTACGTCTTTACTTTTTCTGATTTTTGCTTCAGATTTTTTATTTTAACTTTTTGGTTGTTTTTTCATCATTTTTTTTCTTTTTTTACTCATTCTTTTTTTTTTTTTTAATTATTATAAATATCCTTCCTTTTCATTCTTATAAGATTCATTTACTTAATTTTTTACCCTTCGTTCGCCGTTTTTTGGGGGTTTTTTTTTTCTACATCTTTTTTTCCTTCCGCTTATTCTTCTAACTTCTCTTCTATTTTTATATAAATTTCTCTTTATTTTTCTTTCCTTTTCTGCTGTCTTTCACTAAATTCTTCTACCATTTTTCCCCTTTGAATTTTCTCTTCGTAATTTTTTCACTTCCATTTCAGAATTTTCTAAATAATTCTGCTTACATCCATTAGCGTTTTATCGTTTACTTCCGTCTTTCCGCCTGGTTTTGTCGTCTGGTCATTTCGTACAATCTATGTTTATTCATAGTTTAACTTTCAAATTTTATTTGCCATCGCTTCGTTGTGTCCATTTTTCATTTCCCCTTCTTTCTTACCTTACTTCCTGTTTAACGATATCTCTTCTTCTTCTCCTCTTTGTTTTACTTTTTCATTCGTTCTAATCAATTATCACCTTTATTTCCACGTATTTCTCTTTCCTTTACTTTTGTTTCCCATCCTTGGTATGACGATAAACTACATCCACGCCCAGGGTAAGACGATAAACTACATCCGGCATCAAGGCCTCTGATCAGGAGGTTTTGAGGAGCTTGGAACCATTCTCTTAATTGCTGGTGTTCCAAGGTCCACTAATTTACCATTTTTTATTGACAAAAAGTTATTAATTAGGAAACTGGGGTCTAAACACTATTTGTATATTTATAAAAATTGGTTTTAATACCAGCAATATATAAAGAAAGATTATTACCAGCAATACATTTTGGGGCAAAAATACTACTAGTAATAAAAATCTTGTCGTCATTAAATAACCCATTATGGTTGATATGACGTAAAACAAACCAAACTAAACTTTTGTTATTCATCAACTTATTCATTAACCCTATAGTGTCAATTGCGTCACTAGTGGAAAATATTTTAAAACATTATTTTTATATCAGACGAATAAAACCAAGTGAAGAAATCTGTTTTAAGTGATTAATGTTAAATGGAATTAGGCAATTCTGTATGTAACTTGTTTACAGTTGTTCTCAAAGAACAGAATTTGGTGATATAAATTGGTTTGGTTTGGTTTACGGCATACAAAAATAAAAAGGGGTTATTTAATGCTGTCAATATTTTTTATTACTAAAATGATTTTTTTTCAAAAAAAAATTATTGATAATATGTTTTTCTAAAAAATGTATTTTGCTAATATTTTTTAAAAATATATTTCCTTTAATAATTTTTTTCTAAAAAAATTAATAAATTGTAAATTTCAAACAAAAAATGTATTGCTGGTATTTAAAACCTATTAAAAAACTTTCATGGTGTTTTGAGCCCAGTTTGGGGTTAACTATTTTTATTTAGTTTGGATCTTAACAGGTGCTACCCCAATTTGGGGCATTCAGGGTTTCTGGGAACACCAGCAATTAAGAGCTGGTTCCTCCTCCTCAAAACCTCCATAAAAATAATGTTATTTAAAGTATATCGTCTTACCCAGGACGCGGATGTAGTTTCATGTCATACCTAAGAGGAGGTGATATCGACATCGCGTGTTCAATCCTTAGACTGAGTAGTGTGGACGTGCTGGAAACAGTGAAACAATGGCAAAGCATTACTAATAAAGAAGGCAACAAGTTATTCTCAGACATGATCAGCGGGGCGATAAAAGAATAGATTAGATAAGGGATGAACTCGAAATTCCCTGAAGGAAACTCGGATCGATAAGTACTTGATAAAGGCCGAAGGGTACAACAGCCGAAACTAACAACAAAAATGAGGACATTAGTCCGAATAGAAATAGTTTAAAGTAATACGTTTGTAATAACTGCACAAAACAAGAGAAGGCATAAGGAAGCTGGTTGAGTATTTATAGTACTCTACAAACGAAAGAGTTCTCCAAAGGGAGATAATCATAAAACAAGGGAGATTATTCGCGATTACTTTATTACAACGTTCTAAAAGTAGGTTTTTGCCAACTGTTGCATAGAATTTTTTGTTTTGGCTTTAACCAGTCTCTCAGAAATACTTCTTATTCCAGATGTGATGGGTGACATGAGAATCGCTGCTATGGTAGACCATAAGGTCTGTATATTTTAAAACGTTATTCGGTCATTTTTTTAATTATCTTATCTAACTTTCTAATCGATTTGTTGTATTTTTGTGCCACAGAAATTATTTAGAATAACGTCTGACGCACAAAAAATGTATTCACTTTATTTATAAACATTTATATCATAAAGTTAAAGTATTTTTTTTTTGTTTGAGATATATTTAACCGTGATAATAACTTCTTTGTGATGAAAATGTTCTTATTTTTGGTTACATTTTCCAGTGCTTTTTTGTGTTACTTAACTGACTGTTCCTAAAGGAACAATGATTATTCCTTGAATAAAACCTTCGTTAAGATCTTCATCATTATTCTTGTAGTTCATAATTATAGTGGCGATTAAGTTTCCGTTTTGAAATTCTTCTTTTTGTTTTACTCTTAATGAAATTATAGCAAAATTTGTACCTTTGTTCTTAGAAAGATTAGACGTCCACATATTCATAACTCTGTCGACCTTATCGAAAGATTAAAATGCCATATTGATAAATTATATAAATCTTGACTGTTAGGTGAGCCACCGATCCGAGAAAAGGAAAATATAATTGCGATACATTTTTTCCGAATTCGATAAGCAACATAAACTAAAAATATGGGTTGCAAATCGATATGAGTGCCCCTGATTCACCTAAATTTAGATTCAACTAAATTAGGTTGGATTCACCGGATATGTGATCACTCATCCAATTAGGCATAGAACAGAGAGATTGAAGCTTGGAATCATTTTCGATGGTAAAATAAACGATTGTCTCGAAAGTTAACACTTTTAGATTACACTAACACTTTCGACCCGGCCCCTCAGCCGCCGGTGTCTTACACTCGATACTAACCGAAAGAAAGTGGCCACAGGTCCCCTGAGCATCCGTAGATTATTCGTCCGTTCCGCTGGTTTAATCCTGCTTTCTGCCCACGTTGTGATTTGTTTGATCCAGAAAGCAGAAGTGATGTCCGTCCATTCACGGTCGACTGAAGATGTAGACACGACTGGGGAGTCTGCGCTAAAAACTTTAGAATGCAGCAAAAAAAATTAATATCTGCAGAAAGCCGGACAAACATCGATTCACTGAATGAATTGGTAATGTCTTTTATATAGCAGAAAAGAATAGTAGAGAAGAGAAACGGGTGACAGAAAGAAAAGTAAAAAAAAAAACTCATACACTGTATTCTAGACAGAGAAAGAGTGTAGGTGATTATCTTGTTGTTAAATCGTCTCAGAACGATATATGACTCTTGCGATGGAGGGGTAAAGATTTCTGTGCGGGGCTTAAAGTTATAGTGGCGTTCCTCCTTGCAACGCTCGCCCAGGCCAATTCTCTCTTCTCTTTTCAAGAATTTTCTCCCGTCTGTCTTTTTGGGTATAACTACGCGTTTATATATATAAACCCCGGCTGGTTATAACTGACCCTTTTGCCCTACTACTTCGCACGTGGTTATAATAAGGGGTTCTGATTGCTTCAACCAAAAATCATGTGAATTCCAAAGTTCCTTCTAGCTTATTCAGCTCCATTTAAAAGCAAAAATCGATAAAAATTATTTTGATCATTAAAAATTGTCAATTCAATGGGTACAAGTTTTACCCTAGATCATATTTCCCCATCAGTAAACAAAATGAACTGTTGATTTAATTTTTTTATTCAAATTAAAATCTAATTTCACTAAAAAAATATGTTTGTGTGTGTTTCCCAGACTCTCTCTCTAAAATCTCTGATTTCACAACACATTTCACACAACAACACACAAACACACACACACAAACACACACACAAATACAGATAAATGAAAGAGTTAATTTTAATCCGTTTTTAAGGATTATCAACCATTTACAGGTTATTTACAGTCACAAATATTTTTAGTAACCCGTAACTGGAGGAGGAGAAGTGGATTCTTACCTTATCTAAGTGTATTTACGCGTAAGTGAATA